GCGGGTTTTTTCACGACTTCTTTTCTCTCGATACAATGCGAATATTGAATTCAGGATTTAGTGGAAATAATCTTCTCTTTCTCAACAGAAATATGTATAGAAAGTCATCTTCATATACGACATATTATGCCCTATTACTTCGAGAAAGGTTGGGAGGTGGCAGAGTCATAAAGTGAGCTCAACGAATTTCACGGCGGTGGAACAGCCAGCCAAAGCCGAATAATGAAAGGAATCTGCTTCTACTGTCGCCCAATTCACCCACAGAAACTACTATGGATTACCACGTCAATCGTCCTTGGAAAATTTGGCTATTGCACAGAACTTTTGACGAAATTGATAACTTGATGGTCGACGTCAAGGCGTGGATCGTCTCCAAGAATCGAAACTTCTTCGCCTTGGAAATCCGACCTCCAAGCAAAGCGATGGTGAATATGCTGTGGAGTAATTATTTGAACATACTTTTGCTAAAAATTTCTATCGTTTCTATAAGTAAAATTTGCTTCAAAAATCTGCAATAATTATGCATCAACCTAGTAATTTCGATTCATGAGAGTGATTTTTTCAATCGCTTGTTTTGGAAGCTTTTCAGAAGTATGAACGATTTTCATTTGATATGTATTACATGTATATGCTTGCACATTTTCCAGGGAAAACTGAACAAATTCCATTCGCAATTGTACATTCGCAATTGTATTTTTAAGACCATTTTGAATAGAGAGTGTCAGATGGAGCACTTTCTGCACATCTCATTTTTTTACTTCTATCTCAACTGGAGAGCGATTGGTGTTTTCATGGTATATGTAAAACATGAGGTGACAATGTCCTATCAAAGAGCACATGTGAACACTCGTCCACAGCTTTCCTCGTCCAGCAAGTTATCACTGCAAGTTGGGCTGACCAGTAGGCATGGATGGTCACCTATTGACGGTATTGACCGAAGCCAATTTTTATGCAACCCACGTAGGAACTTATTGACAAATTCAACGCATACATGGGAATATTTGGCGAGAATATGGAAAAACTTGTACTTGTGAGAAGGCTTCAAGTTCAGATGTCACATGAGTCTAAGGAGATGCAGATGGCGAGGCGAATAAAGACTGTTGATAAAAAAAGTCGGGATCATCACGATAATTCTACTTACAAAAGACCATGGTAAAGATGGGACAAACCTGCTCAAACGAGATCCAACGCTAATTTTAATCATTACAAAATAGAGAGATAGAGTTTGAAGCGCTTCCAAGGAACTGGAGTGTCAACTTGAACCTCTACTCATTAAATTTCATGGGGGTTCCGCGAAGAATGAGCTATGAAATTACCACAAGGAAGACAGAAGATAGCCGAACAAAACCCGGTACATGTATACCACTGATTGAGGTTCGTTCGGGAAGCGAAAAAAATTATTTTGTGAAATGCTCAGAAACCAAAATAACTTTCCGAACGACCCAACAGTTCTACTTGTAGCCGATCCTTTCTACGTAACACAACCAAAACTATGCAAACTATGCAACGGAGTGCAGAAGTTCGGGATGAAACAAATAAAGTAATGTCGTATAGTACAATTACTATTACAATCATAACTGTTCCAAAATTTTGCTAGTCCTGAGCAATATTCAACCCCGTTTTTCTTAGCTTGTATCGAAAGCTCAAAGTATATTATAAATCTCGCGCCAAGTTTTTCAATATTTTCTTCATCCAATTTTTTATTTTTTTTACTCTAATTTTTTAAATTTTCCGGCAGTCTAGTCAAATGCCATCTAAAAATCTGCTCTTCTGCGCTAGGTTTGGAAAATTGCTCGCACAGTGGTGGAATGGTTTGATCGCTTCGTTCAAGCAACTACGGCTTGAAATAGAATCAAGTCTCGCCCGGGAGGTTCGTTTCCAGAAATCACGAAATTCTAAAACGAGTTCCTTTCTGGTTATCACATTCGACTGCACTGAAAGACCCGGTGAACAGTGGTCTTTGTTACCCTGGAAAAGTCATGAAGTTTGGTGCCGTACGTGAATCACACGCGAAGGCGCCAGTGGCTGGACTGTCGATCCGACTGCTATCTCGAGAGGACATTACAGTACCACTAAGTGTCAGTGGAGCGAATGATTTGCACTACTCCTTGTTATCTCCTCCTTGAGCTGACTGCCGTAGACAAAGTGCAAATTCATGCTTCACTGACAGCTGCGACGTCCGTCTGAAAATCGCGGTCTGACGCGCCACGTGCGACGGCTGCGGCGTGACCTTGTTTCGACGGTTGGGGGTTCCTCCTTCCCAACGCTACGGTTACGGGCGAAGTCTAATACAGCCAGCTACGAACTATGGCGTAAAAACTTTATGTAATTTTTTCGTAACTCGACAAAATGTACCTGCTTCGCGACAACGCAAGACTACATGTCCCGATGACGACACAGCTTTGCCTAAACTAAGCCAAGGAATTTCAGCCCATCCTCTGTACAGCCTCATCCAGCCCCGTCCAACTACCATCTATTCGTGCCCCTGCGCAGCCATCTCGCAAGCAAGAGATTCGATTTTGTGGAAAACCACAAAAACGACCTCACTACTCTCTCGATCTAGGAACCACAGGAAGTCATTGGCAACATGTTGTTGGCAATGATGGTGCATACATATATTGTACATCAACATTGCCCTGCATTTTTCTGACAACACGTTTAATCGAAATGAGTTTCAAATACGTAGAGTCTTTTGATATGAACTCGTAATGAGGCTTCTCGAAAATGTTCAAGACTTTGTCCTGTTGGCGATTTCTCCACATTTAACGCCTTGCCTTCGTTATACTTCAAAATTACAACAGCTTCACTCAATCAGTTAGGACACTGAAACATCAAAACGGAGCTGCAAAAAAGACGGAAAGCGCAAGGAATAGCGTGGCGGATCTTGTTCCTCAGAATCGCAGCAGGATTTATAATACATTTTCCGTACACTAGGGCATGGAGAAGAAGATACTTATTCATATAGGTGACGCTTCTTCGAATTTCCCACTGAAAAAAAAAACCATGGGAAGCACACGAGTCGTACTGCACTAAGCTAGCATTTAACGCGAAGAAGTTGCGTGACGTTCTGAGAATGATAGCATTATAACACATCGAAGGCTAAGGATAAGATCGGCGCTCCATTTTCTCTTTGATATCCCCGCCGACAAGGCGGCATTTTTGATTCGTTTTGATGAGTTTTTATGCTGTAACTGATTGTGTGAAATGTTCTGATTTTGATGTCAGAAAAAGGCATCAAATGCTATAAGCTCACGAAAAAAGATAAACTTTTAGTGCTGAAAGTACTCACTTGAAACAAGATTGTATGAAGCTCAGAGATAGTGAGCTTTCGAATAAACT